TATTAATATTTATTAGCAGTAGTAGCATTGATTCTTAAGACTGCTAAATAGTAATATATTCTGACATTATCGAATCACGCGTATGGCCATGATAAGCGCTGAATGAATGACAGGCTTTCTGTTGTAACATCGCGCAAGGTAAATAAGGGTGACATCTAGTGGAGAAGATTCACGTTAATCAGATCTTGTTTTAAATGCGTGCTGAAATAAATCCCGGAAAAGGTCGATTCGCGACTTTTGAGAATCGATATAAAAATCGACATCATTAAAAAAAAAACGATTAATCGAAAAATTATTTTTTTTGCCCAGCCATAATTTTTGTGTTTACTGCCTGAGCCTACAAAATGACAGATGAGCTGACACTATGTTCTGCACTGATCGACATTTTGCCACAAAATGCATCCAAAATATTCCCATGAGAAGAATAAGTGCATGAAAAAGAGAAATAGACTAAAAACATAAGTTACAAACAGAAAGATCTGACAATGTAACCCACAAACAGCTCAACAAGTCATTATGCAAAAAAATATCTGTTTTTACAATTAAACTGATTCAGCATCTATACTACACAGACACAGCACTGAACAAAAATCAATTTTGCAGGTACAAAGTACAAGTACAGCAGAAACAGGAGGTCTGTCTAATGAAAGCCAAAGATCCCTGAAAAGGGAAATGGGTGAATCATCGGCGCTGGACCTTTGGGATCTAATTAGCAGCAAAGATCTTTGGTGTTATAAAACAGAGCGTCTGTCTGACTCTGGCCCATTCTCTTCTTCTTTCATCACTTGTTTCTCCATCTCTGCAGTATATGTGTGATCCTACATGGGATTCCAGGGATTCTCAGAGACCCTCATCGCCCTCCTGCAGACTTAATAAAACAAACATTGCATGCCTATTCCCACACCACTGACGGCTCACAGAAGACAGGGCCCAACACGTAACCAAAAACCACAGGCTGTGCAGACACTGTGACCTGACAGCAGGGATTGTGGGTTTATTTTATGGCAGCACAATTATTTATTTATTTATTTATTTTTAACAAACAACTACCTGTTAA